GAAAAAAGAATAAAGATTCATTGGACCTTATTAAAATGTAAATGTTCTGTTCCTCAAAACACACTGTTGAGAAAATGAACAGTGAGCCGCACACTGAGTGAAATAACTGTTACACACACACTTGACAAAGCTTGTGCATCAACCTGCATGAGGAATGTTCACAACCTAGTAAGGAGATAAAAAGGGGCCTAAGGTCTGAAGGCATTTCACAAACTAAGACATACAAATGACCAAAATGACAATAACAGATGCTTAATGCTATTAGTCATCAGGAAATAAACCACATGGAGACATCACTGTTTATAGACGAGAAAGGCTTAAACAGACAGTGCCCAATGTTAACAAGGATGTGGAGCAACTAGAGTGCGTATCCATTGTTTTAGGATGGCAAGTTGATATAATCCAGGGAACTTTGACAGTGTCTCATCAAGTGAAATACATCCATGGAGATCCAGCAATCCCATTCCTTGGTGCTTCTCCCAAGAGAAATGATCATGTCTAGCCACATCATGACCCATACATGAATCTTTGTAGCAACTTTATTCCTAGAAGCTAAAATTTAGAAGCAACTTGTACCCCCATCAACAACTCAAACAAATTGCATTATTTCTATATAACAGGCTATTACTATGCACTAAGAGTGAGTGAATGATTGATGTGTGCATACACACACATGAGCACATGGCTGATCTCAAAATTATTACGCTGTATTTTAAAGACTCAAGCCCAAAAGAATATGTCTTATGGACTTCCTTATATGATATTGTAGAAAAGACAAAACCAGTCTACAGGGGTGACAAAATCCTTCCTCTGACCTCATCGGTCATGGAGTGTGCAAGTGGTGCACAGACGTTCCTGTAAGCAAAACATTCATATATATAAAATCAAATAATTTTTAAATGCAGAAAGATTTATGCAGTCAGGACAAATGGCAGGCATGAGCAATGGCTCCAGCCCCAGGTGACAGAGATGGGGGTCGGGGATTATTATAGCCTTTTTTTTCCCTTTGCTTATCCTTACTTCCTAATTTTCTGTTACAATGGGGTACTTTAAAATAACGGGAAAAATCTATTTTTAATTATAAAAAAGAAGAATGGTACCCTGTTGATACGACATTTCCTACTGTTATAAAATTCTAATGGATCTCAAAACCCTAATGGAACCTTTAAATAATAGATATGAGGAATGGTATACTAAAACAGCATTGAATTAGGAGTTAAAAATGGATAATGCTATAAAAATATTTTCCATTTACTACAAAGAGAATGATGAGACATATATTAAGTTATTTTACAATTTTAATATTTAAAAACACCCTCTCTTTGCTCCAGTAGCAGCTAGGTGGTCATGTAATTGACTACATTTAATGAAGACATGGTATCCTGTTTTTCAAATTGTCCTGCTTTTGAAATGTCAATCTACTCAAAATTCACCGTATAGTATTTTCCTATGGGGGTCTTGACCTAGGTAAAACTTCAAATTCTGAGCTAGTCAGGAAATCAACTGAGAATTATCCACGCTGGATAAATTTTTCCAGCAGAATTACCGTCATGACTAGCAGAACTGCTGCCGTCTCTTCCTAGTACATACAGCTGACACCCTCTCCGCAGCATATCACAGCAGCAAACCTTTGCTCCGAGCCATTCTTCAGAAGTAAGCACAATAAAAACACAGCTATAGGAGAAGTTGCTGAGAAGTGACAATCAGCAAATGATGGCCAGGGAGTCTCCGTCATCACGTCCCCCCTATTAACAGAGAAGCCATCGCAGTTCCCCATCTTCCCAGTTGGAAGTCAATGGATAGTTTAATGACAGGACTCCTCTCTCAAACTCAGAAAACCCTGGGGTAAAATTGCACAGCTGTACCATCTCCTTGTGTTGCTTTACAATGCAGAGCAGATTTGTGATTTTTAAAAGCACCAAGCCCACTGTGAGCTCACAGTTATTGCTAATGCTTTGCAAAGCTCAGTGTCTTTAACGATCCGTTCTTGTATCATGGCTATGGTGGAAATACATGCACCTAGATGGATGTTGCTTACAATACCAGGCCTTTACTATTTCCAGCCTTAACTCACCTTCCACTTGCACATAAGCACATATCATCTAGCGGGGCTGCATGTACCGCCCAGAGCCCTCTTCTGTCCTGAAACATAGGCTTCCTGTTGGCCATTCAGGTGACCACCCAGGAAGAAGAGGACAGCAGAGGTTACTGGGTCTTTTTCAATGGTGACTGAATGACGACAGAACATTCCAACTTCTGACGATGAGAGGCCACCTCATCTTCAGATTGTGGGTTGTTGTTTTTTTTTAACTTTTTTTTTTTTTTTTGACAGAACATTCCAACTTCTGACGATGAGAGGCCACCTCATCTTCAGATTGTGGGTTGTTGTTTTTTTTTAACTTTTTTTTTTTTT